GTTGCGTGGGGTTGGGCAGGGCTGGGGCTGGGCAGGGCTAGGCCAGCGGAGGAGGGGAGGCGAGCGCAAGCGCGTGAGCGCAAGGGCGGGGAGGCGAGCGCGAGGGCGGGGACCCGCGCGGAAGCCGGGCCGCATAAGAGTTGGCCGCACGATTGGGGCGGCTCTTTCCTGGGTGGGGTCTGTGAAGTCGTGGTCCGTTAGCAGGAAGCTGTGCAGTGGCTCCGACGCAAGAAGGAAACCCAATCCAAGCCCCTGGCACCCTGAGTCCGAGCGTGTGTACTGTGTGCTCAGTGCTGCCCGACAGTTCTAGCTAAACTTAGCCAACTCCGCCGCCTTTGCCGCCACCATGCCCAAGACGGTGAGTGCCGGGGAGGGGTGTTGTCGACACCCGGGGCACTAGCTGACTTAGGACCCTTTTGCTGATGGCTGAGGGGTCGAACTGGCCCGCCTGGAATGCCGCGTCCTCCGCCATGGCCTAGGATGAGGAGGGGACAAAAGTGTGGTCCTGATCTGGCGCACCCTTGCGGGTGAGGGAGGTGTCCAACTAGACGTGTGGATAGTGCGGGGTTGACCTCTTTTTCAGGTTCCAGTTCCCTGCGGTCAGGGATGCAACAGTGAGGAAGGCTTCCTTGGAGGCCTTGGGGTCTCTCCTTTTTCCTAAGGGCGGTGGGGGCAGGGGAGCGGACTCTGGTTCAAAGAACACTAACCTCAGTCCAAGAACTGGCATTTTTCTGGAGCAAGGCTGTCAGTATCCAAAAGGGACCATGGGAACAGAGACACAGGGAGTGCTGGTGTGCGTGGGGGGCGCTGCTTAGCATGGGTCCCGTACCCCCACTCACCTTTCCCACAATCTCCCCAGGCATCCCCAGCTGTTTGCCAGTAGGAGGTGATGAGGGAGTGGTGGAGGGACTCATTGTTGTGGTTGCTGGCCTTTACCCAGGAGCATCAACACTTAACTAGGCACCAGTCTTAGGAGAAACTTACCCCACCTCCTGGAAGAGAGTACTGGTTTCTCCCTTCTTTCCACCTGCCAAATCCCTGCCCTTCGTATTACTTAATGCCTCTATCCCCTCCGGATTATTCTGTGAGATGTGGGTTCTCTCCTGTGGAGCCACACCTTTCTTGGTTGATTCTGGGATCTGGTCTCCACCCCACTGACTGTTGTGTGAAGAGTAGAAGCCTCCTGGGAGTGGGGCCTAGAGGGGCCGGATGCCCAGGGAGGAGGGGTGAGGGAGGGGTGTGCCTGACTAATGAGCTCTGTTTGCTTTTGTGCAAGTCACGCCAAATGGCTGCTGGGGCCCTTCTCTTGCTCAGGAAGGCCTGGTGACCACCCAGGCTTGAGTCCCTTAGGCCAAGCAGCTTGCTGGGCTGGCTTAGGCTATGCAGTGCTCCCAGACTCATGGGAGCCTTGAGTGTTGTGGAGGAAAGGTTCACCACTGCCTGAGCCTTGTAGTGTTTATATAGTGACTAGTAGCCTTGTGAAGGGCTGAAGACCCTCAGGATGAGAGGAAAGAGAGTTAAAGGGTTCAGTTCTTTGGGTCCATGCTGAGCTTTGTTGCCACATTGCTGTACTCCAGTCTTACTGCCAGGTATCTTGTTTTTCCAGACTCGTGTCCTTCAGAAACACCAAGTTTTCACAATGTATGTACTTTCACCACCTCTTTTAAATTGCTTCTGGCTTTATGACATGGGGATTTTCCACCCTTTCTTCCCAAACCCTTTCCCCCACAAGTGAAAAAGAAAGGGAAAAAACAAACAAACAAACAAACAAACAAAAAACCAAAACATTGTCTCTGCCAACATAGAGGATTGTAAAGATCCTTTTAGGAGCCTCTCTTTGGGTCTTTCTGTGGTTGACTCCTGACTCCTCTGAAGGTGTGGCTTTGCCTGAGCAGTTGAGTGGATCTCTGGAAATAGACTCTGCCCTGTGGTCTCTCTTCCCTTGTGGCTATTTCATTCTCAATTCTGAGATGTCCACCTTTCAACTTAATGGACACCGAAATTGCCTCAAAGTTGCTTAACCATCTTTCATCAGTTGAAAGATAGTGTGGTGGTTGTATGGAGAATGACTAGGACATTAATTGTTTGAAGTCAGGCCTGGGGTACTAAAGCTACCTAAACACTGAAGATAGTTTTTGTGCAGAAGACTGAAACATGAATCAAATTGGAAGGAGTATACTAAATATTTTAAAAGTTTATTTGTTTCTTCATGAGACAGAAAGAGAGAGAGAGAGAGACCCTCAGTAGGATCACCATGCCACAATTCACCCTCTGTCTCAGCATCTGCTATGCTCAAAGAGGTCCCAGAACTCAAACCTTGGACCTTTCCTTCTTGGGTCCAGTCGTTTTACACTTGTGCCATCACCTGGCCTCAGTAGGGCTGAATTTTTTTTTTTTTTTGGAGAGGTTTTTGCTATAGGGCGCGTGCGCTCGCCAGACAGACAGAGAGAGACAGAGAGATAGAAAGCAGGAAATCACCCCCCAGGGGGGATGGCCACGCCGCAATCCCTTCTCCTCCATTCTCCTCTCGGGATCTTGGGCACGCACGCACACGCGCCCGGCGTGAGTTTAAGCCACCGGGTCCGGGACTCGAACCGCGGTCGACTACGTGGGAGTCCAGCGACATAGCCATTACGCTAACTGCTGGTCCCAGTAGGGCTGAATTTTGATAGACTGAAATTTTGAGAGAATTTTTCACATTGTTTGACACAAGGAATAGTGAACTTTCAGGAAAAACAATGCTTATTAGGATGATAAAATTTTAACCTGAAAGGAACCTTGAAGACTGTTAATCTAGTTACAGCCCACCCCCCCCCCCTTTTTTTTAAAGGGGCGGGAGGCCGCGGGTTGTTAAGGCAGCTGGATCCCACATGACCAACTGCGTGGTGGTTTGAGTGTCAGACATGGCAGCTTGAAAAGCACATTGGGTGCATGTGCATGTGTATCTTAAATCTCCAGAGGAGATCAGAGGAGAAGGGATTGTGGTGTTGTCACCTCCTTGGGAGGAGTTGCTTTCTTACTTTCTCTCCCTTTCTGTCTCCCTCCAACAAATTCATGCACCCTATAGCAAACAAATAACAATAACGACAAACTGGTGAAGATATTTAGGCTTACAAGAAATTACCTACTTAAGAACACATAGTGACTGAGCAAAGATTGGCATCCAGGCTTTATGATGCCCATTTCATTGACCCACTACTTTGACCCAGTGATTGGATTCTTGAAGTTTGTGTTCCTCTCTTGTCTAAAGCAGATTGCTCCCTGTTCTCAGGGCTTCATAGTCCTCAGATAGAAAGGAATAGGTTATTGAGCAAAATGATGTGTTGGCATTTGTGTCATCTTCTGGTAAGATTTTGAAGTGTCAGAGGTGCCTCCTTTTACTTTTTTCATTCCTCATTCCAAGACTGAGGTGTCCAGGGGTATTCCCACATCCTATTCACTGAGTACTGACCAGTACCTTTAAAGAAGAGGGGAAGATTCCTTATTCTCTGCTCCTTACTGATGTGTTTTAAGTTATTTCTGGAGTATGGCTGTTAGAAAAGGAGAGTGGAAAAATTAAATTGTTCATTCTTATGAACCATGTCAATAGTTTATTGAGGATCAGTTTCACTTTTGTAGCCAGTTGTTTCTCCTAATTTATTCAGCCTCCCTTAAATTTGTTAAAACATGCCTCCCTCACTTCTTGCTGTTCTTGGACTTTTCTGAGTCTCCTTTAGTAGCAACAATGGAGATTATTAACTGCTGTCTACACTTACTGGTGATGATAAGATACTTATATATAAAGAATGTATTTCCCACTCCCTACCCTCTTTAACTTTTTTTCTTCTTAGATCACAGTTACTTTGAGACTCTTTTCGATTAGCTAGACAGAGAGAGAGAGAGAGAGAGAGAGAGGGAGAAATTGTTTTGAATTTTCAAGATATTCTTGAGTTTTTGGTATCTTTCCTTAGGATTTATTGAATATTGGAGTTGAAAAAGCTGTGAAGGCCAACCCTTCTCATCATATAGATGTGAAGACTGGGATTCATGTTTGGGAGGGACTAACCTAGAATAATACAGCATACTAATGGCAAAGTTGATACTTGAATCTAGGTCTTAGTTAAAGGGTCAATCTTGGTAAAACCTCTGATTTACTGGGATTTTAGCCCTAGATCAACAGGTCAGGGGAAAGGTGATCAAGTGGCCATTTGATGAGATCATCCATGTGAGCAGAAATAGAGACCAGCTCCTTGAAATATTTGAAGGCTTCAAAGTATGCATACAGCTAAAGCTACACAGGGACTGTGTAGATTGTTTGTTCTCCTGCCATTCTTAGCATTGCTTGAGCCACTCGAGTAGCACTAAAGTGATTCTCGGTGAATAGGAAGCAGATTTTCAGTCTAATAACCCCTGAACCAGCCCTGCCTTCAGACTTCAGGATGGGGACAGGAATGGAGGTTGAGTGAGAGAGGATACTGCATCTCTCTACTTGTTTGTTCTACAGTTTACTTGGGCCTTTGTGAAAGCATAGATGATAGAGGCAGAGCAAGAACCATCTTGGGAATTTCCTTCAGGCTTGTCTTTGGACATCCCTGTAGTCAGGGAGCAACTGTTGGAGCAGGAGGGTCTTTGTGGGACCCTGGAAGCCACCAACTAGTCTGTTCTCTCATGTTAGGCTTTGAGAGGGAAAGTTGCTCTGGGAGTCAGTGTCAGAGGAGGTTATTCACCACTAATCTAATTTTCTACTGTTTTCTAGCTGTCTATAACAGTAACTTGTTTTAAGGGTGATGTTCTTACTTTTATTATGCCTCATGCTCTGGTGCAGCAGCTTTACTGAATGGTGGAGCTGGGGCATTTGGAGGTCATCTGGTCTATTCCCCTGCCTGCAAATCAAATTCTGGATGAGATGAAATGACAGCTACGATGATTCTTAACTCTGCTCTAATTTTGTTGCTTGGCAACATCCTGTATTTAGGTCCTTTTGTATCTTCCTGGGAGTCCCCACTCTATGGAATTTCTAGACTCAGGGTTTGCATGAGGGGTGAAGATCTGGCTACAAACACTGCCAAGGTTGGGCCTTTCATGGCTAGAACTGCTGAAATTGCCATCGTTACAAATTGCTAACAGTCTGTCTCTGATCTTTCATAGATGGAACTGAGTTTATCATGTACCGCTTTACTAACTCACATCTTTTATCCCTACTGTCTTACCCCATTCATCTGTCCTAGAAGAAAAAGAAAACAAAACATGAAAACAGTGTAGAAAGGTGCTCTCCTTGGGGTAGCAAAGGTCAAGCAAAGGGGGTGGTCTTTTCATGATTGACTGGCTTGGCTGTTCATCTCTCCTCCCATTTCATGCTTTATTGAACTGAGAAACTTT